TGGGCTCACAGGAATGGCTGGTGCTACAGACCAGACCCACAACAACCGGGCTTTTGTTGGTCTGTGTCGGTACATTCTGTCCGCAGCTCTTCACTTTTATTGGCCGTCCACGTTTTCTTTTTGGCCTGTCAGTGCCGTGATGTGCCAGTGCTGGTAGTCCACAGGCCAAATAGCAGTCAGGAACAATCACAGCAGTAAATTACTTTTACGAGGAGCCGAACAAATCAGCTTTGCATCGCAGCCGGAAGGTCCGGGGCAGCGACTCTATTCTGCGAAAGCCATCAGAGTCGGTGGAGGGTATTAAACCATCGCTGTTTGGACTTTTATATGGGATTTATGTTTGCTTTATTGGTTTTTAAACTTGTATCCGAACTGGCTTTTTTCATTTTCTTCCACGGTTTAGAGCAGCGGTTCTCAAACTTTTTATCCACGACTCCCAGCATAACACCAGTGTGTGTTGGTGACCCCCCAGTTTGAATTCCTAGTAGATCATAAGTAATAACTGTGTTGTTCATGAATTAATGTGATAATTCTCTCTTCACATGAACACGTTAATATTCTTTTGAATGAATGAAATGAATTATTTTAAACAAAAGAAGGGAAAAAAAATATAAAAACAAAAGAAAATAATTTAAAAAAAAGAGCAAAACAGAATAACAATATGGCATAATCAAATCATATTATTAACAAATTCAAAAAAGCAGTGGGAAGAAGTATACACTTCTAATTTTGACAGCCCTAATACACATTTATCTGATAAATATAGGCTTTATTTATTTGTTTACAATGATCTGGCGACCCCCATCGGAGCTGTTGCACCGTCCTGGTTAATGAAGTGGAGTAAAACCTCTCTGCTGTCTCTGCAGCATATAGTTGGACAGCGTTGTGTTTAAAAAAAAAAAAACGACCTCTAACTTCTCATTTTATTCTAATAACAATCCCTAAATCCACATTAAACCTGCGCTCCACCAGGTCGGGTCAGGGCCACAGAGGTCCAGTGATTCGCACTGACCCGTTCAGATCACCTTCCAACATGGCAGCCGTTCTGCAAACCTTTCCTGAGCCTCTTTGTCCATTTCAATAAGAGTGCTGCTGTTATTTGGGGAGTTCTGGTGGAAAACAATCCGGGTCGGTCCAGTGCTAAAGTGCACGTGTCCACGGTAGACCTGCTGCAGCTCATCATGGTTCTCATAATGGAGTCATCTGTTCGTTATTTGCTTGATTAACTGATTCATCTGGGAGATAGTTTAACGTTCCTGTCACGTCCTGAGGTGAACGTTTTCAGCAGTTCACAACACAGTGACATTTGTTTTGGTGAACAAGATATGTGCAAAGACAACAGAAGTCACCACCATGATAACCACGATCATTCTGTTCAATTCTGACATTATTAATTAGGAGTATTTATTGATTGTAGAGACAGAATATACTGAGTGCTCTTTTCCAGTTGAATAAACAGGTTGCTGCTTTCACTTCCTGTTGTGCAGCTCGACTGTCCAATGAGTGAAGTCAGGAGCTCTGATGTCAGATTTACCCCAAAGCGCTGTCACCTACACGGACCGTTCTCCCTGAGCGCAGCTTTTTAAACGTCCACATCGCAGCTGATCACCTTCCTTTAACTGTTGGAAGCCAAAGTTGTGATTGTGATTAATGTTTGATTAATTGTGCAGCGCTGCTATCTCCTAATTAATTCTTGCGCCCTGATTGTGCTCAGGGAGACAGAGAAGGCATGGTTGTTGCATAGATAACTTTAACCTCAGCCTTAGAGGAGTACAAACCGTTGTGCAGCTCATGTTTTGTTTCATACATGTCTGACTACCAGCTGGACTCGTTGGTGTTACGTCTTCTCCTGGTGCCTACAGCGACCTGCTCGCTCCAACACTGCTACTGACGGTCAGAATACAGTCCAATCTGCATTTCTGTGCCCGTCTGAATGGGACGTGACTCTGTGCTGGTGCACTGATGTGATCAGTAGACCTGAACATCACAGAGCTGACAAGCTGCAGGAATGTTGGAGACCCTGCAGCGGAGGCTGCTGAGAGGCTGACTTTGCAGAGATGGCTGTAGAAACGCAGGCTGAGAAAGTCTGTGAGAAGTCTGTTCCTCCCCTGCGTGCTTGTGTGGCTTTTTATAATGATAAAGAGACCGAGGGAGGCAGAGAGAGCGTGCAGCGAGAGAGCCATGGAGAGGTGTAAGAAGAGTAAACTCGTGACTCATCAGGCGCAGTGGAAAAGGGTTCACTGAGTCAGAGATGAGGCAGGAACACTGGGTGGTGGATGAGCCACGGGACGGATGGGAATAGATGACTGTAGGTAGATGAGAAAGAAAAGAACAGTCCAACTGGATTGGGCAGTTTCTGAACTTCAGGGCAGCACCATGACTGGACACTTTACAGGCGTCCAGAGCAGTCTGGTCATTAAAACACAACTTTGTTCATGTGCTCAGTACATTTGGTGGGATTATCCAAACGATGTGTTCTTCAGGTGGTCAGACGTGTAGGAGGTTTGTAGTCACGCTCACAGTGTAAAGTAAAAACTTCTGCTTCTTCAGTTTCAGCCCTAAATGAAGGCTTCCATCTGCTTATTGATCATATTGATTAGTTTAGTTTATCAGTCACTAGATGTTAATCCAGAAAAGTCCTCAACTGCTCCTGCAGGCTCGTAACCAGCAGTACAGTTTATCAGTTATCTGATAAGTTTATTGAAGGAAAGTCAGTGCAGTTCTGCAGACTGCCACCAAACAGTAGCATTTACAGCCTTCGGTGGTCATGAAGCTGTGCTGGTGTCGCTCTGACTGCAGGCAGCTACTGCATGTAGTGCTCTGACAACCTGAGTGTGCTCCCAAAGTCACGCTTCTCGTGAAAAGCAAAACGCAGCGACATGCATGTGTAGAAACAAAGGCGGCTGTGGTTCAGGTGATAGAGCAGGTGGTCCTCTGAGGTTGGTGGTTCGATCCCCTCCACAGCCGATGTGTCCTTGGACAAGACCCTGAACCTGAAGTTGCTCCTGATGGCAGGCAGCACCTTGATGGTAGCTCTGTGGCCGTTGGTGTGTGAATGTGTGTGAATGAGAACACATTGTTGGTGCAGACCATTCCCCTCTGTTTCATACTGGACCACCCTGACATGAGGATGCCCATCTGAACTATTCTGACTGTTGTGAGCACACCGTAGCCACCAGTAGCAGCCACCACAGCGTGTAACGTTTAGGGAACATCGGTAAACTGTAGCGTCTGTCGTTAAAATGTTCAGCAAGTCGTGTGTTTGCCTGTGACGAGGTGGGACCAACCAAATGAGAAAGTTTGTCGCCCCGGTGCTGCCAGTAGAAAACGTTCACCTGGAGCCCTGTGATAGGACCAACAGAGGAAACATGTTCAGGGGTTCTCCTGGCTCAGACTGGGCGCCGGTGGGATGTCCACGTCCAGATTTAAGCAGTGAGTCGCTGTTACCGTACTTGACAGAAATCTTGTTCCTTCTGAACGTTCGATGAGCTAAACTGTTTATTATGCTCGACTACATTAAACAAAATGAGTTAATAAACGTAATGCTGGCTAAAAACACCAACGCCACGCCTGTTTCTGCTCCTACAGGATTGTCTGTTTTCTCTGCTCTTTGTCTGCAGCCTCAGTGTCTTTGAGCTGCTGATGGCTAACTAGGAGCTGTCTGGTGCAAAGTGCTGCTGAAATGAGCTCCACACAGCTTTCTTGTAAAAAATACAGGCTTTTTGGTTTAGCTTGGCCCCCAAACGCGTCCTTTAAGCCAGGCCTGCTTTGATTGGTGCCTTTTGTCTGGCTGGCCATCGATCGCCCTCTGCATCCTTTGTGTCGACGGCCCATTGATGCTGACTTTCTTTTTCTCCAGTCTTGATAATGTTTCTGTATTGATTTCAGGGCCCAACCGATGCAGCCCCCCATGGGTCCTTTGGACCTGCCATTGAAATCTGAAGACTAAAACTGTCTAATTGATTTCAGAGCAGCTCCTTGAAAGGCGCACTGCTCCCTCATATCACACCACTAAAACCAGTTCACTTTAAAATGTGTCCTGCACTGAGGAAGATATATTAGAAGTGAAATGATTAGTTGATTATTCGATTAGTTGTCAACGAATACATTCATCCCAAACACAATCAGTCCATCAGAAGAAGTCCAGATTCTCTCATTTCATCTTTTCAAATGTAAATATTTTCTGGTTTCTTTGCTCTCTGTGACAGTGAGTTGAATATCTGTGGGTTGTGGACAGACCAGATGTTCAAGGGTGAAGAAAAAAAAACAATTGATTAGTCTGGAAACTATTCCACAGATTAATCTGCAGTAAAAATAATCGTTAGTTGTCGCCCTACAGATGATTAACTATGCTAAGATGAAGAAAAATCCTAACCTGTATTGATGTGGAGTCAGAGCTCACCTCGTCTCGGCTGTTTGCTGAGCACTTCCCACTATTGACTTGGTTTCTCTGAGACACGGTTTTGGTCTCATGTGGCTTCTGGACAGAGCTTCATAATCTGCTTCTCTGGCACGAGAACTTGTGTCTGTTTACTTATGCAGCAGGTCATATCTGAAGGCGGGATGGAAGCACTCGCCGCTCTCAAGTCCAGATTTTGAAAGAATCATGAGTCATGACTTAAATGATGGACGCTGACAGCTTCTCTGAATTCATAACAGCTCATAAAAAGAGTTCATAAAAAACAGGATGAAGCCTGAAACCACACAGGAAGGTTTCCCACAGGATGAACATCACGCCTATCAGCAGCTAACTACCCTGCTTGTGTTGTCATTTGGCTTTTATTAGGTTTCAGAGGAAGCAGTTTGTGAAACCTGCTAACCTTGTGGCCACAGCTGTTGTCGCGGTGGGACAAGTAGCTGCTGAAAGGCTTCCAGTTCAGCAGCCACACCAGGCTCTGAGATCAGCTTCAGCACACCGTCTGAGCTGTTTAATGCAGAAGTGTACGTTCTGATGAGTTTGTACCTTTAATCGTATTTTCTGTGCTTTGTTTGAATTGCAGGTGTGGCTCATATCGTAGCTCCAGGTCGAGGGCCGCTCCACCTCTTCCTCCCCCGCTGTCCTGTCCGGGAGAGCAGAGCACCTGTTTGTTCGTCTTTTCTTTTAATATTTTTTATGCCCGGACGCAACCCGCCACCTTGTGAATTCATGATCACATGACCGTGGATATGGACGCAGTCCTGTCCGACTTTGTCCGTTCCACTGGAGCTGAACCGGGACTGGCCAGAGATCTGCTAGAGGGTGAGTTATAAATAAATACTTACATCCACCCTGAAGCGACAAACTGAATACAGAGCAGTGGGGCAGAGCGATATGGCCTCAAAGATTCATCCTGATACACATGAGAACATTTGAGAAAACGATGTCACTGACGAAATACTTCAAAACTGCACAACTTCCATCAATCCATTATCTATACATCACTTAATCCTCACCAGGGTCATGGGGGGCTGGAGCCTATCCCAGCTGACTCAGGGTGAAGGCAGGTTCACCTGGACAGGTAACCAGTCTATCACAGGGCTACACTTAGAGACAGACAACCAAGCACACTCACATTCACACCTACGGACAATTTACAATCACCAATTAACCTCAGCATGTTTCTGGACTGTGGGAGGAAGCCGGAGAACCCGGAGAGAACCCACGCTGCACGGGGAGAACATGGAGACTCCACGCAGGAAGATCCCGGGTGTCCTCACCGGGACGCCAACCGGAGACCTTCTAGCTGTGAGGCGATGATGCTAACCACTGAGCCACCTGCAGCCTGTCCAGAAACATGCTGAGGTTAATTGGTGATTCTAAATTGTCCGTAGGTGTGAATGTGAGTGTGCTTGGTTGTCTGTCTCTAAGTGTAGCCCTGTGATAGACTGGTTACCTGTCCAGGTGAACCTGCCTTCACCCTGAGTCAGCTGGGATAGACTCCGCCCCCCATGACCCTGGTGAGGATTAAGGTGTAGAGATGATGGATGGATGTAAATTGCTTGCTAGCAATTTGTTTAATCAAAAGGCGGTCAAACATTGGGATCTCAACATTGCTGTCCGGTCCACCGTCACAACGACTGAATCCTCCGATATCCATGTCCAGCCCTCGTGTGTCGGTCGCTGCGTTTCCCCTCCTCCTCGGTCGCCGCCATGCTTCTAAACAACAGCACTGCGTGTTTCACTCAAATGTTGTCGCGATATTTCAGCTCCACATCACCCCCTGACATTCCACCGGTGTGATACGGCCCAGCCCTACTGAGGAGTGTTTCTTTATCCAATCAAGTTTAACTTTTAGAGCAAAGCCTGTCGAATCAGTTTCCCATAATGCATCAGTTCATTTACACTTTGAGCCTGTCGGTACTGGTTTTGTCCCTTTAAACAGCTCGACTGAAACAGAAGGGGATGTGTTGGTTATCTGAAGCTGACCTCTGTCGATGTTCCAGCAGGTCTCAGTCAGTGCTTCTGGCTGGTTACTGTTAATTAGGCTATCCAACTGTACCAGAGGGAAGGTATAGCTGGAGTCAACAGGGCTCCTGTTGCCTAGCAGCAACACAAGTTGCAGATAAGAATATGGGTTAAAAATGTAATGCAATGCAGCAACAGCAGCAGCGAGCCAGCGAGCTGAGACGTGCTCCAAATTCTGATATTTACTCAAGTGAAGGAATGTGCCACTGGCCTTTACATAAGATAAGAGAGTCGGTGTTGCATTGACTTGTGGTAAATATTTAACTCATTAAGGATGCGTTGTGTTGACATAGAGACAAGATTCAGGTTGTCACGCTGGACAGGTCGGCTCAGACAGATGATGTTCTGTCTTTTTCTCTCTGCAGGCAAGAACTGGGATTTCACTGCTGCCCTCAGTGACTTTGAGCAGCTGCGACAGGTGCATGCTGGGAACCTGACGTATTCGTTCACAGAAGAGCGGACGTATCTGCCTCCTGAAAAAGAGATGGCCAGGGTGGGACGGCCGATACTCCACCGCCAAGATGAGGTGGTGCAAGGTGAGGCCATCAGCCATAGGAAGGTGATGTCATGTTGCACACGCTCAGTCCGTAGACCGAGCTCAGACCAGCGTCACCTTATGCAACAGTCAGGCAATGACTCTTCATGAATGTTGAAATGTTCAGTTTTTGTTGTAGCTGTCTCATGTTGATTCAGCTTCATGGTAACTCTGGAGGCTCGTGGCGCCGTTACACTGCACTGCATTACACAAGGACGCGTTTCTGGCATTAGCCTGGCCGACGTGATGTCAAGGTTTACAGACACAAGTTCATATAACGCAGCAGGAGCATAAGCACACAGTTGAATCAACACTTCACCACGACAGAACAAAATGTGATGAGTTTCATGGAGTTAGGATTTAATACAAGACTGTTGCGTAAGACTATATTGGTTTTTAGCTGCTAATAAGCTGTCAGCTGAGTGTAGCTGTAGAGTTATGCCAGCTGTAAACGCTGTGCTCAGTGTGTCTAGATAATTCAGTAAGTGGTAATTTAGATCTGACACCTGTGCAGCTTGCAGACAGTGACTGCTAACTGCTGTAATGCACCATTTATTTTCTGTTTGCAGCATAACAATAATACTGATGTATGTTATGTTTAAAGCACTTTTCATATAAAACTATGGCTCGCGGTGCTTAGCAGGGCTGCAGCGAATGAGTGCTTCCATTGTTGATCAATCTGTCCATTATTTGCTCAGTTAATCTGCTGTTTTGTCTATAAAATGTGAAAAGATGGAGAAAATGTCAATTAGTGTTTCTCAAAACCCAAGATGACGTATGTCCAAAAAAAAAAAGAAAAACTAGAAAGAATTACCTGTAGACTCAGTCTGTGTCTAACACCTGTGCTCCGTATCACCTGCTGCTGTGTTGAAGCTACGGAGAAGCGTCTGTCGAGGGGCATTTCCCACGCCAGCTCCACCATCGTCTCTCTGGCCCGCTCTCACGTCTCCAGCACCGGTGGCAGCAGCAGCGAGCCGCTTCTGGACACGCCTCTGTGCACGTTCCAACTGCCGGACCTCACCGTGTACCGGGACGACTTCCGCGGCTTCATCGAGAGGGACCTCATCGAGCAGTCTATGATGGTGGCCTTGGAGCACGCCGGTGAGCAGAACCCAACACTCACCCACATGTAGAAGCCCGGGCTTCATGTGCAGCGGTTGCTGCTGACGGAGGCTTGTATTTAGGACAGGAGGCACTTTTGACTTTTGGAGTTTTTTGACCACACATCACCAAACAAACTGCTTCATCAGCACCAGCATATCAACAGATGTAACCTCCACCTTCTCTGTGTCGTAGTGTGTAGCTCAGGTGCATTCAGGCTCACGTTCACATCCATAGACGTCTGCTGAGATTAAGCCGATTGTCCTCAGTCTGTATAAAAAGCCACCAGTACCAGTTTATTAGGTACAGGGAAACGTCACCTGGGGTCAAAAAAATAAGAATAAAAAAGCTTGTCGGACTTGGACTATGGGATGCCTAGATATGGTCCCAAAGAGGTGGTCCATCACCAGCTCATTGTACCACAGTGTTGTCTGGTGAGTTTCTGCAGATGTGCAGCCGGCTGTGTGGTGCTCAGAGTCCAGACTTAACCCGATAGTCATTCCTCCATTCCAGTGCAGCGTTCTTACAATGCCTCATGTGGAGCTTTCAGGCAGGACATATATGTTATATCCGTCATGTTATTACATCAGGGATGTTTTTGGTTAGGTTGAGTGCAAATTGTATTAGAATTATATTTTCAGGAAAGTTTTTAGGGAGGGCAATAAACTAGGATACCTCTCAGTGTAACGGAGTGCATTACTGCCCCATGTTTAGCTGTCATCTCAGTAATAAACATATGAGCGAGGTAGCATATTTCTGACATGAAAAACAGAGGAAATTACAATTCCTGGCTGAGCTGCTCTGTTGGAATAAGTTGAAAGCTGCCACTGGAGTATTTTGTAGTTTGGTTTAACTTTTGCATCAGCTGTCTACAATAACAGGCTCATGGTATTTTCTAGTGATGCTGTGTTCATTTTGGAATTTACTGCGACCGTTTTATCAGATCACTGCTTGACCATGTTTGTACTGCAGACCTGAGTTTGTTCGTATTTCCCTGCAGGGCGACTGAACTGGTGGACAAAAGTGGTCCCAAACTGTCAGAGTCTGCTGCCTCTGGCAACAAGTGGAGATGGAAACTGCCTGTTACACGCCGCCTCGCTCGGTGAGGATCAGAGACCTTTCAAACAGGACCCCGATACCGGCCGGGTTCACACTCCATTAGCATTCATTAGGAGAGAGTCGTTGTTAGCTTAAGCACTAATTGCATTTTACAGTGTTGCAGTGCACGTTCACTTAGGCTTTATGGCCCACTTAGGAGTCCTAGTCGAGAAAATTAATAACGCCTCAGCTAATGTGCAGGCATTGTTCCAGTAGATCCCCTGGATAGTAGGTGTAGTGTAATGTTCAGAGGCTTCACCTGTTCTCCTCAGAACATACTCACACAGCTAAGGCAGGAAATAGCAGCACGTGGGCATTTTGATTTTAGACTTTATTTTAGTATTTCAACTGAGAAAAACAGGACAATTTGTGTCTTTTAAACAGTTTAAGTTCAAAAAGATTTGAGAAAGTCCCCGGAGCTTCTGCACCTCTTTATTATTTTATGATGTCTCAGGTGCAGTTGTGAGCCAAATTCTGCTCAAGTGTGTCGAATGACCCAGTTTGGTTTGGTGACGCAGGTATGTGGGGCTTTCACGACCGAGACTTGATGCTGCGGAAGTCGCTGTACGCGCTGATGGATCACGGCCTGGAGAGGGAGGCACTGAAGCGCAGGTGGAGGTGGCAGCAGACCCAGCAGAACAAAGAGGTTCGTTACACACACGTCATTCTGATATTAGGACAGGGGAGGTCTCAGGTATAGAGAGGTGTGTGAACAGACAGCGCAGGTCAATCTGTGGCAGTGAAACATGTGAACCATTTACAGCAGGTCTACGTCCACTGGTAAATGTTCTAATGGTCCTGAATCAGGCAGATTAAAAGAAAAACATGTCATATAAATAAAGAGTGACTCTGTAGCACGCTATGCATAACTGACCTGTTAAAGTAAACAGAATAATGCACAACCATGTATATGTATGGACACGTATGTTACATGAGAAACCAGCTTCCATGTTATGGACAGTGTACCTAAGTGGTTATTTTAGTAGTGGATTGATTTTGTTTGGTTTGAGCCTTGTTGTAGTCACAAAAACAAAGTAGTCCAGTTTCCTTGGTGACATTTAAGCCTCATTCCTGTATTTCTGATGTTAGATGCTATCTAAACACTTGGAGGCTACATCTATTGCCATCTTTGTGTACGGTTACCATGGTGACAGGGGTTGTCTCTCATGTTGTTGTCACGAGGCTGATGCAGAGCGCTGCAGACAGTAACTCTAGTTATCATTTCTGAACTCTGAAGCCCTCGTCTGGCTCATCTAGCCTTAGCCTTAGCATTAGCATTAGCACAGCTACATGCTCTCTCCATTGCGCCGCAGCAGCTCATTCAGCAGATGACTCACACTCCTGTTCAATACATTCCTGTTTTCTGTCAGGGTTTAGCCTGAGAGGAGACCCTAAATAGTTGGAAAACATCAATGCAATTATCCAGCAGGGTTTCCTTTGTGAACGATCGAGGATGATTTCACCGGAGAGCCGACAGTTTTCAGTGCATTGCATTAACAGTTAGATTAACGTCGGCTGGACTTGCTTTAATACATGCTGCCTACATGGTGGGAGTTTGTCTCAGCTGTTTTGTTGCTGCTTGTCGTTGTAATTTGTAGATGAGTTTGTGAGTGTGTTTACGTTCCAGATCTGCCAGATAACATTACTGACTGACACTTTGAGTTATTGGATGCTTCTTATGAAGAGCAGTGCAGCAGGTCAAACATATAAATCTGCTTCCTGGGCGCTGTGTGCTGCTGTGTGACGCCACACAACACGACTGTAAACAGTGATCTGAGCGTTTGTCATAGCTCTTGAAATCTTGCTCTTTATTGGGTGTTTGTTTTGTTTTCATCTTGAAAAAAGTCAATAAATATTTGTTTGCATAGTTTTTGTTGACAAGATGAATAATGCTTTGTGCAGCCGTGGCGGCATGCTGATGACTTTATCAAACACAAACAGAGCTTTTCAGATTAGATAAGCTTATCCTAATGTTGAACTGTATTATCTGCAGGCTCTGGTCTCTCCGCCCGGTATTGTCAGTGTTTCTGAAGACGTGCCGACAGACTAGAGGTTGTTTTGGTTGTGTGTGTGCTGCACTTGGCTACAAAGACAGAAAGAGCAGCCGTTCTACAGAAACACAGACTTGTCCCCGGTTAAAGCCAGCGCTGCAGCACATCCAGGGTGTTTTTAAAGTGCATGAAGCATGCAGACACAGGCAGGAGGAGGAAGTCCACCCGTTCTTCATCAGCTGCTTCTGAGGTGTCCGTAAGCAAATGATTTAAGCCTGCTCTAGTGGAGCAGATGAATGGGCAGTGACAGGACTGGCTGGGAAGCTTTCCCGTGTGAGTGTGTGTTAAAAAACATCCAGTTTCCTTCTGTCTATATAAGGAAGTTAAAACATGGTATTGATGAGTTCTGCTGCTGTGTGAACAGCACACAGTATGTAAAGGCTCCAGGCTCGATTGTCAGCATGTAACCTTGCGGTGAGATGCCATAACGTCAGTGCATGCTTTTGTGACATTTGACACTCCCTCTCTAAATGGCAGATGTGTGTGTGTGTGTGTGTGTGTGTGTGTGTGTGTGTGTGTGTGTGTGTGTCCTTCCTCTCTCCTCAGTCCGGTCTGGTGTACACGGAGGAGGAGTGGCAGAAAGAGTGGAATGAACTGCTAAAGCTCGCCTCCAGTGAGCCCAGAATACACTACAGCACCAACGGCACCAACGGGTAAGGTCTGGCCCAGACAATGCAGGTCCTGTTAACCCACCACTCTTAGTCACGCTCGTGTTTCTATTCATGAACAAACAACGGCGCTCACAATCGCCGCTGAGTGGCTGGCCCTCATTTAGTCAATCTGCTTTCTACTGGACCAGCTTAAGGCCGTCCGGCTGAACGCTGGAGCTCTGCCTCCATGTTTCTACCTTCCTGTGTGTTTAATTGCCCCCCAACACGTCTGTAGTCATCAGGAATCCATAACAAAGCGACAGAAATACCTGTCTGCTCGACTGTCTGTTTGAACAGCTGTGCTTTTGTTAACCAACATGCTGCTGCTGTCGTTGTCTTCAGGGCGGAGTCCTCGGATGAGCCGGTTTATGAGAGTTTAGAGGAGTTCCACGTCTTCGTCTTGGCTCACGTGCTCAGAAGGCCCATCGTGGTGGTGGCTGACACCATGCTGAGGGACTCAGGAGGAGAAGGTAAATATGCCTGAGACTCACTGGACATCCATCAGGGGGCGCATTCAGCCAGACCGTCTCTCTGGTGGATGATCGCTGTCATTTGATTTACTTAAGAAAGGTGAAAGAGAAGTAAAAGTTCACACTACAGGAGCTTCCCTATTTCACCTCTCCCTGTGACTGAGGGAGGAGTCTGGTCTGGGATCTGCCTCCATGTCTGTTCTAGATGTTCTGGTCTGAAACCTCTATGGAGGTCTATTTCTATAGATGTACCTGCAGACTTACTGTGGCAGCCCCGATGACGTGCTTGATATTTAGAAGTTGGATTCTAGGTGTAGTAACAATAATGCCACCGCCCGGAGGAGTGAACACGGTGAGGGCCGACAGCAGGCTGGTTCCAGGTGAACTGTGCCTCACCTGGAAAGCTGATGAGAGCAGGGAGTGGCAGCAGTCTGTACAGGAGCTGACTGATTTATCAGCACCTTCTCTAACAGCTCCCACTCATTTCACATATGACAGCGCAGCTTTTACAGATGCTGTACAGGCAATCTGTGATCGAGTGTTTAACCTTCAGTTTGCACAAGTTCTCGTGTAAACCAGGTCAGTTTGTTGCTGTGCATACGTCAGGTGAGCCAACCTGTCCCCCTCAACACACAGAAATACACAGAAAGCACTGATAAATATTAAAATACAGAGAAGAAGAACAGCCTTTATTACTGATTCATCCAATGTTTAGCCTGTCTGGGCTCAAACATCTGTACAGATGTTACCTTAGCAATCCTCACATCCAGAACCAGAAGTTTTGTTGTTGCTAAAGATTTCAAGAATGAAATCAGGACAGCGTTAATGAGAATTATAACAGAATTAGACTGATGTATTGTCTGCAGTTGGTGGTACGTCATTTTAATATTCTGACTTTGATTTTGCTCACCAGTAAACATCGTCATCAGCCACACATGTAGAGTAAGCGTGGGAAATCACACAACTGCACTTTAAATAAATAATAATAAAGTTAGATTCTATTCTATTCTATTCTATTCTAAACCTCCGTAGACCAACTAAAATGTGAAGCTTCTATTAAACTCCATGTTGTTGAGCCAGCATCTGAATCAATCAGCTGATGTTATTGTTGTTCACGCTTGTGTGACGTCAGTCAAGTCGGGATCAAGTCAGGATCACGTCTAACCAGCAGGCACTGCAAAGCAGGCCGTCTCCAACAAGCCTCATCCAACCCTTGAGGCTGCTGTTAGCTGCACATTTTAAAACTGATGGTTAACTCCCACCTCAGGTGTCATTTAAGAACAGACACATTGTGCTGACTTCCATCTCTCCCAACCTGTCTCTGATTCAGACTCATTTAGCCTTCTGCTTTGTTGAAGTGTTATTAATGTCGGAGCAGGTTTTTGCATGACCGTCTTCGTTCTGTTTCCGTCTGCTTCCCCATGAGGCCATGTGAGACGCTCCCCGGCCGCTCCCTCTGGCACTGCAGTCTCAGACTATCCTGTAGCGTGTGCTGTACTTTTATTTTCAAATCTTGTAGTGCGTGCACGTCTCAGATTAGAGAGAACAGTGTATGTGAAGTTTCTCTTTACGTGCGTGTTGCATCCCAATATCAAAGTCTGTTTGGATTTATAAACCTGTGTAGTGTGAGCCCAGCTTAAGTTGTCAGTGATTGATGGCTTGCCTGTGCAGTCCAAATGAAGTGAGCGCCACCCATCTGCTATCTGCAGCAGGTTAAAACAAACAGTATGAGCGGCTGCCAAACGGCGGATGACCCATTTTTACTGCACAAAGCAAATGTGCAGCCTCACATAGCTTCTCCCACTAAAACCTGCCGACAGGAAACCAGAGAAACTGTCGCTAGCTGTGATAGCCGTCGCTGGTTAAGGTGCTTATTGGTTGCCACAGGGGCTGCACGGTGTCTCGGTGGTTAGCACCGTCGCCTCACAGCTAGAAGGTCGCCGGTTGGCATCCCGGTGAGGACACCCGGGATCTTCCTGCGTGGAGTCTCCATGTTCTCCCCGTGCAGCGTGGGTTCTCTCCGGGTTCTCCGGCTTCCTCCCACAGTCCAGAAACATGCTGAGGTTAATTGGTGATTGTAAATTGTAAACCCTGAGTCAGCTGGGATAGACTCCGCCCCCCGCGACCCTGGTGAGGGTTTAGGTGTAGAGATGATGATGGATGGGTGCCACAGGTGCAAATGGTTTTGTTATGGACGTAGATACACAAGTGCAATATTGGTTTCCTTCTTTTTTTTGTCTGTATTTTTGACTCAGAACCTCCCAGTGATGCTTCTTGGCTCGGATGCAGTGCTGAGGTCACGTTTTTCAGGTTTTTAATGTCCTTGTTGCCTCTCCCCAGCCTTTGCTCCCATCCCGTTCGGAGGCATCTACCTACCACTGGAAGTGCCAGCTGCCAAGTGCCATCGCTCTCCGCTGGTCCTGGCGTACGACCAGGCGCACTTCTCTGCCCTGGTCTCCATGGAGCAGAAGGACAGCTCCAAAGAGCAAGGTGATGCATCCACAGTTATTACCACGTGTATATTGATTTATTCGAGGGCCGTCTTTGTACGCAGCTGACGTCTTAAAACACAAACCAGAGTGCATCAATCATGGAGACGCTGTTACTTACATTCCTCCTGAGAAGTTAGTGCCAGAGGTTTGCAGTGAGCGCTGGCGGCCACTTCACAGCTCGCTGCCTTTGCTTGATGAGGAAGTCTTTTTCTAATATTGGCCTCAGTGGTTTATTTAGAGGTAGTGACTAATGGCCACTGGGCTTTTGAGTATAGCCAGTGATCCCTGTTGCTCAACATCAGGTTGGACTAAAAATAAAGGCTCAGTTGTATTTTGTCAACTGTTAACGCGGTCGTTTCAGAGCTGCAGTGATTAGTTGTTAATTATTATGATGGTCTGTTTGAGAACTTTTTAGAGAAAAAATGTCCAAACTCTGAATGCAGCTTCTTGAATCTGAATATTTTCTGTTTCTTTACTCTCCTGTGACACTAAACTGAATGTTCATTTTGTCATTTTGTGTTTTTTATTGTTGTTGACGTCGTACAGACCACACAGGGATCCCACTGATCGAGAGCTAATCGACTGATTGATTAACAAAGTGAACAGTTTTTAGTTGCAAAGATCTGAAGAAGGGCTTTTTATCAGGAGCCGTATGAAGTGAGAGTACATCTGATTTTAAAAGTTCCAGTTTCTTATGATGTATTTTTCTGTTTTTCATCTTACGAGAGTAAAATCTTGTAGAAGAACGGAGTCCTTGAAAGTTCAGGTCTGTCCTTGAAGTTCAAGCCCAGACACTGAATTGTCTGCTCGTCTAAAAATATCAGATTCATGTCCAAAAAGCAGTATTGGTCCGAGCCGGCCAGATAAAAGTAAAATAGAATCTGAAGGAATTGATCGGACTCGGGAGCGCTGTAGTCCACAGACGATCCAGAGAGCTGGATTAAAACGATTCTTCTAAGAATGCTTCTTTTATTGTCTCTACCAGCAGTTGTGATCCCGCTCACTGACTCGGAGCACAAAATGCTGCCTCTGCACTTCGCCGTGGACCCGGGGAAGGACTGGGAGTGGGGGAAGGACGACACCGACAACGTGATGCTGGCGAGGTAAAGAGCAACTTTTAATCCGGGTCAAACAAACGGATTAATCACAAAAAGTCACAGAAAATGCAGAAGAAATAAGAGTGGTACGTGTTCGCTGACATGTGCGTGCCAGAGCCAGTGTCGGTGTGCAGGGATTGACCCGTGACTCCAGATTAGCGACACTCGCTGCCAGTGACAATAAGATTAGCTGTAAATACCTTCTATGAATGAAGCAGAGCACCGAAATAGCAGCTCGGTAAAAATAACCTTCCACCTTCGTTACATCAGCCGGTGACACTGGATGTTTTATTGTGATGAGACGGTGAGTGGCTGTTAACATTATTCTGAAAAGGTCAGTGAGTTAAAAGGCCTTCGCCAGAGCAAGGATGCAGGACAGCAAGATGCTTTTAGTGCATTTGCAGTTTACGCTCACATTTAGAGCCAATTCACCAGCTTCAGCAGCAGCAGCAGGGAAATCTGTAGACCTAATCAACCGTCCTCACATGGAGCAGACCCACGTTCTGCTCCCTCCCAACACCTTATTTAAGGCTGTAATCAACCAAAGACAACACTGGATGACTGAAATCCTGCCTTCTCCTGAACCAATCGTTTGGCTGTAGAGAAGAAAAATCTGCATCTTATTTCTGTCTGAACCAAATGAGCCACATTGCCCTCCGCCTGCCCGCCTTACAAACCTGTACGGATCTAAATAGACACAATCAGCTGGTATCTGCAGCATATTAAATCATGTTAACCTGCTTGGTTTACACTGAAATTATAGACTCACATTTATATAATTTCTGAAAAAACAGTGATATGAAAGAGGTGTTGACAGGCTGCCTGGTCCTCCTGCCTCCAACAGAACTGTAAGAGTTCTGACTGATGTCAGGCTTTTGTCCTTCAGAACATAACGCTGCTGATTGTCTGATCAGTGAGCGTCTGACCAGAGCCTGTCGACCTGCAGACTGCTGCCCTGATGCTGGTTCTTGTTGTAAAACTAGATCTGGCCTCATCGGTCTGTTTGTCTTTGGCTGCCTCTGCTCAGTGTTTTGGATCCATCTTGTGTGGATTCATGTTCATCATGGGTTAGGGTGCTGTGCAGTGACAGAAAGCATCATCGTCTACCCAAACAGCAGCAGGAATCCCATCAGCGCTGGAGTCACTGGTAGAAAGCCTCCTGTCACTAAACTTTGTTTTTTCCTTCCCTCTTCCACCCAGCGTTGCTCTGTCTTTGGAGGCCAAGCTCCAGATGCTGCACAGCTACATGACGGTCACCTGGCTGCCGCTGCCCTGCGAGGTAAAGGCCAACACATCCATCCTCTACTGCTGGCAGGGTCAGAAAACCAGCTCACAGTCCAGGATTTAGCACAAGAGTTGTTTTTTATGTTAATGGCAGGCTTGATAAGTGAGTGATGACGAAAACAGGAAATTATTTTTCAATTAACCACAAAGGCTGGTTCAGATTTCCAAAGACTCTCTGGGTGATTTACCAAACAAGCCAAATCCTGGCGTAATCAGATAGATGCCAAAGGGCTGGATAGACTTGAGGCATTACAGCTATTTGCGGTTAGCATTAATGCGCCACACTGATTGTAAATGAGGGCATGATTTCCTTCCTGTCCCCTGACTGCTGAGCAAACTGTATGTGAACACAGACTACACTGGGCCATTCAGGTCATAGAGTCACGCCATGCAAACACCGCGACAAAGGCCCTCTTGTGTGCCACATGCTAACGCCAGGGAGGATAGAGGTTCATACCCGCTGCACGCTGGGGCTGCAGGGAGTGGCAGCAGCACAGGAATCTCTGCATTGAAATATGATTCAAGGGGATTGTTCTGTGAAGTAAGGCGACTGGATGCAGTTAACCACAGGGCGGCTGTGTGATGGCTGTTGTTGCTGCAACAGACTGCATTCAGTAGCTGCTTGGTGTTTGACATCAGCGTCTTTACAGATGACTTTTCTAAATGCAGCATCCTTTATGTTACTGCTGCTTTAGTGTGTTTGTAGAACATCTGTCTGCTATCTGCCTCAGTGAAACAGCTCCTTGCACCTCTCCCTCCACATCTGGTTCCTCTGGACCTGAGGAGAATGCACCCGTACTGGGCTCAATTTAGCGTTCTGAGGATTTCAAGGCGCTAACACAGCTAGCATTAGTTTTGTTTGAATGTTTTAGATTCTTTAGGTGGAAAATGTTTCGGTACAGACGTGCAGAGTTTTTCCACTACCTCCTGTTTCTGCTTTGTTTATCTGCAGCAAGCCCCTCTGGCCCAGCCCGAGTCTCCCACGGCGTCAGCAGGAGAGGACACCCGGACGCCTCCTGACTCAGGAGAGTCCGACAAGGAGTCGGTCAGCAGCAGCTCCAACGGCAACGGAGACACCACCACGGGATCCACGGTCAACGGAAACGGGTCTTTGGCCAAGAACTGCTCCTCTTCCTCATCCAGTTCGTCCAGCAGCGGATCGGCAGGAACAGCAGGGAAGGACAAAACCAAGAAAGAGAAGGACAAAGAAAAAGACAAGAAGAGGGCAGACTCTGTGGCCAATAAGCTGGGCAGCTTTGGCAAGAGCCTGGGCAGCAAGCTGAAGAAGAACGTGGGCGGACTGATGACAGGAAAGAACGCTGGAGCTGCAGGTGCCAAGCAGGAGGGTGGGGAGAAGAAGAAGGGCTCGTTTAGGGGGAGGAAGGGCAGCAAGGACAGCTCGCCCTCAGCCCACGCCTCCGAGGATTCTGGGAAAGGCTCCCCGTCCTCAGGTAGCGAGCGTCTCAATGGAACAGGGAGCAGCATGAGCAGCAGCGGTGGAAGCAGCACGGAGAGCGAGACCTACAAGTACAGCGCTGATGTCAAAGTCAGCCTGGGCATCCTGCGAGCCGCCATGCAGGGTGAGAGGAAGTTCATCTTCGCCAGCCTTCTCACCACCAGCAACCGGCAGCCCTTCCAGGAAGAGATGATCCAGCGGTACCTCGCCGACGCAGAGGAGCGCTTTCGGGCTGAGCAGGAACAACAGCGGCGTGATGCGGAGAGGAAGGGCGTCACCAACGGCGTCCAGCCCCCCAAGAAGGAGGTGGTGGGTATTACAGAGCTGAGTTACCGGCCCTACGAGGCCAAAGAGGAGCTGTCAGAGAACTCGTCACCTTCCTTCAACCAACTCAAGGCCACTCCCTTGAGCCCCTCCATGTACTCTGGTGTGGTTCCCATCCCGCGGCCCTCCTTCATAGACCAGCCTCCTGCTGCACCGCCCATGACCCAGCATCTTCACATGCACAGCTACTTGGATACTCGGCGCCAGCTAGCCGGTGGCTCCCCAGCGACCTCGTACCCTGGCCTCCCCTCGTACGCCACCCTGCCCCGGCACATCCCCACAGCACAGGGTCCCTCCCATCCCCAGTACAGTAACTCGCAAGGCCCCTCCTCGCTGAGTCCCTCTCGTCTCGCGCCCTCGTACCCCCCGGAGTTCGACCCACCGGACTACCCCGGGGCTGAGACCGCCGGTGGGAACTACACCAACGGCTTCCGGGACATGAGCTCCAACCTAGACTCTCGGAGCGGGCAGCCCCCGGTCAGACACTACTCGCTGGGCAGCGCTGGCGGTTTGGCCGGCCTGCAGTCCAGCCGCTGCCGGACACCCAGCTGCACCTACTACGGACACCCCGAGACGGGCAACTACTGCTCCTACTGTTACCGGGAAGAGTTGAAGAAGAGGGAGACAGAACCAGCCATCCACAGGTTCTGAACGGACCTGGCCGTGGCTTGAATTTGATGAGTGGCCTTTTTCAGTTAAAAACAATAGCGAGCGGAGCAGATGAGCCTCTGAAAGGACCGGGGGAGGCAGCCGTCTCCCTCCTGTTCAGCTGTCGTTTCCTGTTGAGTGATGAGAGAGTGGACTTCAGAGCAGACGGGCTGGTGCCGGCCTTCTGGCTCGACCCGAGAGCAAACTATCTGCACTTCTGTTACGTTTTTGCTGTGGCTCTTATGCAGGCGTTGTGTGTGTGTGTGTGTGTGTGTGTGTGTGTGTGTGTGTGTGTGTGTGTGTGTG